AGAGTACGTAACCTTTATTCGGCGCATGTACACACCCTCATTTACAGGCTATCTCCCCCAACCAGCGAACCAGGTGACTAAGAGTTGACGACGGGGCCCCGTCGTTCAACTAGTAACCAGGTTCCAGCCAATAAGAAGATGGTTTTGGCAATTGCAGAGGTTATGTGGGTACCACTCTCCTGTCTGCCCTTGTCATTCCCATTCAAGAGCTGGTTGAAGCACGGTCTGCTCTCTTGTGGCTTCTCTTTTGCCTTCCTTACCGTGGAGTGCACTAATACCTATCACTGTACATAGTGTATATAGTGTACATATTGCTGTTCTAAATTGGTGAAGAATAATATAAGTCAAAACTTTTCTGCTGTGTTTATTTTGCTCCCTTTACACCCAGGATAAACAGGCCATTTGGAATCTTGGGTTGTAATAGAGTGTGTATGTGGAGTGTGTGTGTGACAGTCTACAGTGCTTCTCTACTTGGCCTGACCTGACTCACGCCTGACCTACCCACACCCGCCTACCAGTTAATATATTCTATGCTTCACCTGTCTGCTCGCCCTGTTCTACTAGAAATTACCAGTTGCTATTCATTACTGAGTACTTGATATCCTATTCTTTAATATACTAAGAGACTTGTGTGTGAACGTTGGAATGTGTGTGTGTGTGTGTGTGTGTGTGTGTGTGTGTGTACTCACCTAGTTGAGGTTGCAGGGGTCGAGTCCGAGCTCCTGGCCCCGCCTCTTCACTGATCGCTACTAGGTCACTCTCCTGAACCGTGAGCTTTATCATTACCTTGCTTAAAGCTATGTATGGATCCTGCCTCCACTACATCGCTTCCCAAACTATTCCACTTACTGACTACTCTGTTGCTGAAGAAATACTTCCTAACATCCCTGTGATTCATCTGTGTCTTAAACTTCCAACTGTGTCCCCTTGTTACTGTGTCCAATCTCTGGAACATCCTGTCTTTGTCCACCTTTTCAATTCCTCTCAGTACTTTGTATGTCGTTATCATTTGTCCCCCCTATCTCTCCTGTCCTCCAGTGTCGTCAGGTTGATTTCCCTTAACCTCTCCTCGTAGGACATACCTCTTAGCTCTGGGACTAGTTTTGCTGCACACCTTTGCACTTTCTCTAGTTTCTTTACGTGTTTGGCTAGGTGTGGGTTCCAAACTGGTGCCGCATACTCCAATATGGGCCTAACGTACACGGTGTACAGGGTCCTGAATGATTCCTTATTAGGATGTCGGAATGCTGTTCTGAGGTTTGCTAGGCGCCCCATATGCTGCAGCAGTTATTTGGTTGATGTGCTCTTCAGGAGATGTGCCTGGTGTTATACTCACCCCAAGATCTTTTTCCTTGAGTGAGGTTTGTAGTCTCGGCCCCCAAGACTGTACCCGTTTGCGGTCTTCTTTGCCCTTCCCCAATCTTCATGACTTTGCACTTGGTGGGATTGAACTCCAGGAGCCAATTGCTGGACCAGGTCTGCATCCTGTCCAGATTCCTTTGTAGTTCTGCCTGGAGTTCGATCGAGTGAATTCTTCTCATCAACTTCACGTCATCTGCAAACAGGGACACCTCAGAGACTATTCTTCCTTCATGTCGTTCACAAATACCAGAAACAGCACTGGTCCTAGGACTGACCCTGTGGGACCCAGCTGGTTACAGGTGCCCACTTTGACACCTCGCCACGTACCATGACTCGCTGCTGTCTTCCTGACAAGTATTCCCTGATCCATTGTAGTGCCTTCCCTGTTATCCCCGCTTGGTCCTCCAGTTTTTGCACAATCTCTTGTATGGAAACTGTGTCAAACGACTTCTTGCAGTCCAAGATAAGCAATCCACCCACCCCTCTCTCTCTTGTCTTACTGCTGTCACCATGTCATAGAACTTCAGTAGGTTCGTGATACAGGATTTCCCGTCCCTGAAATCTGTTGGCTGCTGTTCATGAGATCATTCCTTTCTAGGTGTTCCACCACTCTTCTCCTGATGTGTGTGTGTGTGTGTGTGTGTGTGTGTACTCACCTATTTGTGGTTGCAAGGGTCGAGTCATAGTTCCTGGCCCCGCCTCTTCACTGATTGCTACTAGGTCCTCTCTCTCCCTGCTCCATGAGCTTCATCAAACTTTGTCTTAAAACTATGTATGGTTCTCGCGTCCACTACGTCACTTTCTAGGCTATTCCACTGCCTGACAACTGTATGACTGAAGAAATACTTCCTAACATCCCTTTGATTTCTTCTGAGTCTTCAACTTCCAATTTTGACCTCTTGTTTCTGTGACCCATCTCTGGGAAATCCTGTCTTTGTCCACCTAGTCTATTCTGCGCAGTATTTTATATGTCCTTATCATGTCTCCCCTGACCCTCCTGTCCTCCATTGTCGTCAGGCCGATTTCCCTTAACCTTTCTTCGTAGGACATTCCCCTTAGCTCTGAGACTAGTCTTGTTGCAAACCTTTGCACTTTCTCTAGTTTCTTGACGTGCTTGACCAGGTGTGGATTCTAAACTAGTGCCACACACTCCAGTATGGGCCTGACGTATATGGTGTACAGATTCTTCAACGATTCCTTAGTGAGGTATCGGAACGCTATGCTTAGGTTTGCCAGACGCCATACGCTGCAGCAGTTATCTGATTGATGTGTTTCTGAGGGAAATATGCTCGGTTGTTATACTCACCCCAAGATCTTTTTTCTTGAGTGAGGTTTGCAGTCTTTGGCCACCTAGGACTATACTGTGTCTGCGGTCTTCTTTGCCCTTCCCTAATCTTCATGACTTTGCATTTGGCAGGGTTAAATTCAAGGAGCCAGTTGTGGACCAGGCTTGTAGCCTGTCCAGGTCTCTTTGTAGTCCTGCCTGATCCTCGACTGATTTGATTCTCCTCATTAATCTTCACAACATCTGCAAAACAAGGACACTTCTGAGTCTATCCCTTCCGTTATGTCGTTCACATATACCAAAAACAGCACAGGTCCTAGGATTGTCACAGGCGCCCACTCTGACACCTCGTCACATACCATGACTCGTTGTTGCCTCCCTGTCAGGTATTCTCTGATCCATTGCAGTGCCTTTCCTGTTATGTGTGCCTGATCCTCTAGCTTTTGCAGTAACCTCTTTGTGAGGAACTGTGTCGATGGCCTTCTTTCAGTCCAAGAAAATGCAGTCTATCCACCGCTCTCTTTCTCTTGTCTTACTTCTGCCACCTTGTCATAAAACTCCAGTAGGTTTGTGACACAGGATTTTCCCTGGCTCTCGATTATATACTTGTTTCTTTCCAAGTGCTCCACCACTCTCCTCCTGATGATCTTCTACATGACTTTGCATACTATACACGTTAGTGACACAGGTCTGTAGTTTAATGCCTCATGTCTCTCTCCTTTTTTAAAAATTGGGACTACATTTAACGTCTTCCATACCTCAGGGAGTTTCCTAATTTCAGTGGAAGTGTCGAAGATCTTTTTTAGTGGCACACACAGCTTCTCTGCTCCCTCTCTAAGGATCCTTGGAGAGATGTTGTCTGGTCCCACCGCCTTTGAGGTGCCAAGTTCACATAGCAGCTTCTTCACCTCCTCCTCGGTTATCTGTACCTTATCCAGCACTTGTTGGTGTACCTCCCTGTTCTTGATTTCCACTGTAAATACTTTTTTAAATCTCGTGTTGAGCTCCTCACATACCTCTTGGTCGTTTCTTGTGAACTCCCCATCATCCGTCCTCAGTCTGATTACCTGGTCCTTCACTGCTGTTTTCCTCCTGATGTGGCTATACAACAGCTTCGGGTCAGACTTGACTTTTGATGTTATGTCATTTTGTATATTGCTGAGCCTCCCTTCTTATCTGTGCATATTCATTTCTGGCTCTTCGGCTAATCTCTTTATTTTCCTGGGTCCTTTTTCTTCTGTACCTTTTCCATTCTCTAGTACACCTAGTTTTTGCCTCCCTACACTTTTGGGTGAACCAAGGACTCGTTCTCGTCTTCCCGTTTTTTCTGTTTCCCTTGGGAACAAACCTCTCCTCTGCCTTCTTGCATTTTGTTGTCACATAGTCCATCATTTCTTTTACTGGTTTTCCTGCCAGTTCTCTCTCCCACTGAACGTCTTGCAGGAAGTTTCTCATGCCTGTGTGTGTGTGTGTGGGGGGGGGTGTCTGTGTGTCTGTGTGTCTGTGGAACTATATTAGGGTGTGTTTATTAAGTGTGTGAAGAGTCGAAGGTGGGATTGTGTGTTATGGTGTTTAAGTGCGTATGTGGAGTCTGCTAGTGCGTGGTCTGCAGTGCTCTGTGTGATCTGACCCACACCTTTCTGTTCACCCTTCTATAATAAATTACTAATTGCTATTTGTTATCGAGTACGTGTTATCCTATTCGTTATCATACTAGAGAGTTGGACCGTTCACAAACAGCTTGGCGGTAAAATGGAACCCACACCTGACACCCCGCAAACCACGCATAGGTGAATACTTGGGATGCAACCTGTAGCAGCCTGTAGATTGTCCAACTCAATGTGATGTCCTGGCGTATATCCACTTCCGTTTCTTGTCAATATATAGTATAACCTATACACTGTATTTCTTTCTCTGGTCACACATTTATTTCACTTTATTATCTTTCCTGAAGACACATTTGGCACCGTCGCCTGAGCACACTAGGCCTGCCCACTCTGATCTGCGCCCACCAGGTATCACTTCCTAGTTCACTAATAGAAATTGTGGCTCTCCCCACACTTGTGTGGCTAAGGGGAACTTGTAAGTCGCTTCAAGGATCGTTCACTACCCTAACACACTTAATTGACCCCTGCAGTACCCTTGGGTAGCCCTCAAAAACACTTATATTCACGGAGCACTAAATGTTGTGACTCGCGCATGCGGTGTCCCTACTGTGTGTGTGTCTGTGTTAGTGTCTGTGTGTTAGTGTCTGTATGTTAGACTGGAGACAAGTAGTTTTAAAGATTTATTTTGCTGCTGGAGTCCTCCTTTAACTTTTTTGTTGTTAACAGGTGCATGAAACTATCAGTAATGCTCTGGACATGATGACCACAGAAGTAGATGCCACAGATGCCTCTGTCCTCCTGGAAAACTCTGGCTCCACCATCATGGAGAAAGTTGTGAGAATTACTCGTGTAATCTCTCTGAAGAAGTTAACTGTAAGTTGAAACACTTGTGAGTTTCTTTTTTATATAATACAGTATTTATTCAAGATAACATGTGTTATGGTTGTAGACGGTAATGATAGAGTAACAATAACATGTGTTACGGTTGTAGATGGTAATGATAGAGTAACAATAACATGTGTTACGGTTGTAGATGGTAATGAAAAGAGAAACAAAAAATTGTTTTTACGGTTGTAGATGGAAATGATAGGAAAATAAAAAATGTGTTACGGTTTAGACGGTAAGATAGAGAACAATAACTGTGTTAGGGTTGTAGAGGTAATGATAGAGAAAACAAAAACATGTGTTAGGTTGTAGGGTAATGATAGAGTAACAATAACATGTGTTAGGTTGTAGACGTAATGATAGGTAACAAAAATTTGTGTTAGGGTTTGTAGACGGTATTGTTGAGTAACAATAAATGTGTTACGGTTGTAGCGGTAAGTAGAGTAACAAAAAATGTGTTACGGTTGTAGACGGTAATGAGAGTAACAAATAAATGTGTTACGGTTTTTAAAGGTAATGTAGGTAAAATAACATTGTTCGGTTGTAGACGGTAATGATAGGTAACAATAACATGTGTTGGGTTTTTGTAGACGGTATGATAGAGTAACAATAACAATGTGTTCGGTTGTAGGGGGTAATGAATTGGTAACAATAACAATTTACTCTTCAAAAGTTCCTGGATCAAAAAAAGGAACAAAAAACAAATACTTTTTTTTTTAAATTTAAACTCATGCCCCCAAACCCCTTTTACATTCCTCACCTTCAAAATTATTATCATAACACATTTCACATCTTTTAAATTCAAAGATTTTTTATCACACAAATTTTATAAACCCAAAACCGACCCGGAGGCTTGACACTCTTTTGAAGCCATGTCTTTGTCCTGAGGTGCAAACTCCTTCATTTAAGGTTCACTTACAAATATGGGGGTTAAAGAAAAAAGTAATGAGCAAAGATTATTACAAATGCAGTAAATAGATTTTTGGGGTGTAACAGAGAGGGGGTTTAAAACCTGAAGATAGAGAAATGCCTTCTGAATGCAAATCGGGTTATGAACTATTCCACACTGATGGGGGAAACAGGAAGGGTGGTGGAGTGGCGATGTTGTGGGAAAAAATTTAAATTGTTGTCTTAGAATGAAAAGATTGAAACATAAACACAGAATCTGTTTGGCTCGTTTCTTGGGGGACGTGCAAATTAATTTGGATGTGTTTATAGGCCCCCAAACCTTGATGGGGAGTGCAGTAGCTGTTTTGGGACGAAATTCATAAGGCATCTAGATATGAAAATGTTGTAAAAAGGGGGGTTTTTAATTTTAGACAAATTGATTGGAACAATATGAAGGAAATTTTAAATCTAGTGATTTTTGATACGGTTCAGGATTTTTTTTTAGAACAAGTTGTGACAGAGCTAACTAGGGGAAAAACAATTGCTTTGACTTGGTTTTCCCAGCAAAGATTCACAAATTTTAATATATTGTGTTAGGACAGCTTGGGAAGTGTAAAAAATCACTTTTTTTCAAATTCAGGGAATTACCCAGATAATCAAAAAAAATCTCTGTCCCGTTTTTTCCTTTTGGGCCGACTTCAGGGACTGAAAAATTACCTAGGTGAGTAAAAGGGATGTCTGACTATGGGTCAGGTAGGTGATCTTGGGTTTCCAATTTTGACGTTTTTCGAGCTAGTTCTAGCTGCCCAGACAATTTTTTTTCCGGTAGGGAAATTAGTTTTAACAAAAAAGATCCCCAAATGGATGAACAATAGATTAAAAAATCTCATTGGTCAAAAGAGAGGCATTTACAGGCGATCCAAAGAGGGGATGGGCTTTTAAAAAATCAATATATTAATTAAAAGGGGGAAATAAGAAAGGAAAAAAAAAGAAAAAAAGGGTTATGGGTAAGGTTTTCAAGGGATTCAAAGACTAACCCAAAGGGGTTTTTTCGGTTACAGAAGTTAAAATTAGGGACAAAAATTGGCCCATTTGAGTAACTCTGATCAGACACTGACAGTGAAATTCTCAAACCTACTTCCTCTAGTTTTCCCCCAGGAAATATTAGGAATTTTTTTGAAATAAAGATTATGTAGAACGGTGTAATAAATATGCAAGAAATTTCAGTAACTGTGACTGGTCCTCAGCAAAATTTTAGAAAAAAAACTAAAAAAAAATCCCAGGCCTGATGAAAATTTTTTGCAAGGGTGTTAAAGGAATGTAAAGAGGAACTCAGCTCCCTTTTGGTAATTTTGTAAAATATCATTCAAACTGGAAAAGTGCCGATAAGTGGGAAAAAGGCAAATGTAATACCCATTTACAAGGCAGGGAAGGTCCCTTTTTCGAACTATGACCAATAAGCCTTTCCTCCTAGTGGAAAAATTTATGGAATCAAAAAATTGCCCAAGCAATTCGTAGCCCCCTTGTAGGCACAGATTGATTAATGAATTTCAAACGGTTTTACAAAGGGGCGTTCCTGCTTACGAATTTACTTAAATTTTTTTTTATAAGGGGTTTGAGGGGTGATCATGGTAAGGTTTGAGTTATGTATATGGATTTTTTAAGGCTTTTTGATTGGTCCACACCCGAGGTATTGAGGGAAACTTAAGGCACACGGAATAGAGGAGAATTTTTTTTTTGGGTAGGGCATGGCTGACAATAGGCAGCAGAGAGTTTGCATAAATGGGGAGAAATCAGAATGGGGGCACGTCACAAGCGGTGTTCCTCAGGGGTCAGTGTTGGGCCCGTTGTTGTTCACAATTTATATAAACGACATAGATGAGGGAATAAATAGCGACATAAGCAAATTTGCTGATGACACCAAATAGGCCGTCCAATTCATTCTAATGAGGATACTAGAGCACTCCAGGATGATTTGAATAGACTGATGCAATGGTCAGAGAAGTGTGGCAGATGCAGTTTAATATTGACAAATGCAAAGTTCTAAATGTTGGACAGGTAAATAACCATGCCACATATAAACTAAATAATGTAGATCTTAATACTACTGATTGCGAAAAGGATTTAGGAGTTCTGGTTAGCAGTAATCTAAAACCAAGACAACACTGCATTAGTGTTCGCAATAAAGCTAACAGAATTCTTGGCTTCATATCTAGAAGTATAAATAATAGAAGTCCTCAGGTTGTTTTTCAACTCTTTATATCCTTGGTTAGGCCTCATTTAGACTATGCTGCTCAGTTCTGGTCACCATATTACAGAATGGACATAAATGCTCTGGAAAACGTACAGAGGAGGATGAAAAGATGATCCCATGTATCAGAAATCTTCCCCATGAGGATAAAACTGAGGGACCTGAATCTGCACCTCTCCGAAACGCGTAGAATTAGGGAAGATATGATCGATGTGCATAAATGGAAAACAGGAATAAATAAGGGGGATGTAAATAGCGTGCTGAAAATTTCCAGCCAAAACAGGACTCGAAGCAATGGTTTCAAGTTGGAAAAAATCAGATTCAGGAAGGATATAGGAAAGCACTGGTTTGGTAATAGAGTTGTGGATGAGTGGAACAAACTCCCGAGTACAGTTTTTTCAGGCTAAAACGTTGTGTAGTTTTAAAAATAGGTTAGATAAATACATGAGTGGGTGTGGGTGGGTGTGAGTTGGACCTGACTAGCTTGTGCTGCTGGGTCAGGGGGCCGTTTTCCTTCCTTGAGTGGAGGTGGCCAGACTGGGTGGTCATTGGTCTAATCCGAGGTGGGTGGGTCATTCTGCTAATCCGGGGGGGGGGGGAACATGGACCTGCTCCGCATGGGTCAGTAGGCCTGTTGCAGTGTTCCTTCTTTCTTATGTTCTCTCTGTTGTTGTCATTATCAAACTTCCCAGGAGTGTTTTCCAGCATACTGACCTCATCCTTAAGTTTATTACCGCTATTATCTATTGCGGGCAGTTTTCTCTGACCTTAATTGTTGCTCTGTTTCTATACGTGCCAGTAATTACCGTCCCACTTCTTACAGCTTCTGGTACTGTTGGGATCAGTGTTTTCTCTCCATCACTTCTAAACCTTGACATGAGCCTATCTGCGTGCTTTTTCCATATCGTATTTCTCAATCCCATAATTTGCACTTTATAATTCCTAACACCTCTATATTCATGTAATGACATCCAACTTCGTACAAATGATGGTTCATGTAGAAATAAATAATATTTAATTGACTGACAGAAATACATTACTGGCCAGATCTGGAAAGTATCCCCTGTATCACAATATCTAGAAAAAGTGGTGTGTATCCCCTGTATCACATTATCTAGAAAAAGTGGTGTGTATCCCCTGTATCACATTATCTAGAAAAAGTGGTGTGTATCCCCTGTATCACATTATCCAGAAAAAGTGGTGTGTATCCCCTGTATCACATTATCTAGAAAGGTGGTGTGTATCCCCTGTATCACATTATCTAGAAAAGTGGTGTGTATCCAGTGTATCACATTATCTAGAAAGGTGGTGTGTATCCCCTGTATCACATTATCTAGAAAAGTGGTGTGTATCCCCTGTATCACATTATCTAGAAAGGTGGTGTGTGTCCACTGTATTACATTATCTAGAAATTGGTGTGTATCCCCTGAATCACATTATCTGGAAAGGTGGTGTGTATCCCCTGTATCACATTATCTAGAAAGTGATGTGCATCCCCTGAATCATATTATCTAGAAAGGTGATGTGTATCCCCTGTATCACATTATCTAGAAAGGTGGTGTGTATCCCCTGAATCACATTATTTAGGAAGGTGGTGTGTATCCCCTGAATCACATTATCTAGAAAGGTGGTGTGTATCCCCTGAATCACATTATCTAGGAAGGTGGTGTGTATCCCCTGAATCACATTACCTAGGACGGTGGTGTGTATCCCCTGAATCACATTATCTAGGAAGGTGGTGTGTATCCCCTGAATCACATTATCTAGGAAGGTGGTGTGTATCCCCTGAATCACATTATCTAGGAAGGTGGTGTGTATCCCCTGAATCACATTATCTAGGAAGGTGGTG